CACTAATATGAAACCATCTGAGACTATGACTATATCTACACCAAATAACCCTCCTTTAAATCCTATTGAAGAACTATTACTATCATATTGTTTGTTTTCTCGATTTATTGTTGTTTGTGGTGGTTCTGATGTAATTTCTTCTTCAATAGGATTTAAAGGAGGGTTATTTGGTGTAGATATAGTCATAGTCTCAGATGGTTTCATATTAGTGATTGTTTGATAAATATCAGGCGGTGCACCAACTAACGTATTAGACGATGACATAGAATTCAATGACGAAACAAATGAAACGGGATGTGCTCTTCTTCGTGGTTTCTCATCATTAATACGACCACCACCGATATAACTGAATCTACTACTGGGTGGTTTGGTTTCGGGGGCAGTGGTTTCTGGTTCAGGGTCAGCATGATCGTCCACATTTAAAATGAATAATTTTATGAAATTTTCCACAACATCTAGTCGTTCTGGGATCGTTTTGTGAATTCTGCTTTGAGAGATTAATGGAATACCATCTGGAGCAAAACGACGATATAATTTTTCTTTTGAACGACGCCTGCAACAAGTTCGTTGACAGATTCCCCAGGGAGTTACTGCAGAGAAACCTTTTTTGTAAAATTTGATAATTATTAAGTTTGTTTTGAATTATAAATTGAATTAATACGTAATGTTTAATTTGTATATTTTACCAAAGAGACAGACGTATATTCCCATTAACAATCCATAAAATGCAGCAAATAATGCAAGAGCATTCAATATCTAAAATATTTAAATGATTATTATTAGTATATTTATTCTTATATTTACTCTATATAATATAATAAGACTTAAAACTTACATTAATAGATCTAATACGATTATCAGAAAAAAAATAGAAAAAATAACGTAAATCGATTTTCATGATAACAAACCATCCTAAGAATTATGAATAATATTGTACCTGCTCTCAGTCTGAATCTCTTCCATCCAGTTATTATTCCCAATGAAAAAAACTCCATAGATATTACCAAGGTTCAATAAGTCTGATGATGAAACATTATTATATTGAAAAGATGGGATTTTTATCGATTCTACAGTATTATATTTAATAAAGAAATAAATATGTGTGTGTGTGTGTGAAATGAAGGTAAGAAAATGGAAATTACTAACCGAAGGTAGAATCAATAAAAGGAGCCTTAAAGTAAATTGGTGGAATTCCAATGACATTCAAAAAACTTGGTATTTGGTAGTATCTTTGTTTTCTGGTGATATACATTTGATTAACCTTTTTTTTTTTTTGAGTGAAGAATATGAATTATAAGAAATAAATAAATTTCTTTTTTTTTCGGCTTTTTTTTTTTTTAGTTACCTGTTGAGAGGCCAGGACGTGGAGATTTAAATTGTTTAACCTTTCAACATAGAATTTGTCAATCCGTTTCATAAGAGGCTTTAAGTAATCACTAATTCTCATTGGATTAAAGGCTAAACGTAAGAAAAAAAAATTAAGGTTGAAAAAGCTTTCTTGAAATAAGTAATTAATATTTTCACAAAATTCACTTACTGGATTCAACAACCCTGACTTTCATTCCAGTATCAGAGCTAGAATTATACCCCGTATCATTTGGCGTTTGATAAATTGTGAAAAGAATTGCATAAAGTTTGTTTTGACTTGGTACGATCGTATAATTTAACATATTTTGAGGAACTGATTGCCAATTTCGACTATCGAATTGACCGATACAACGGCCATCAAATCGATTTTCATCTGTTTCTGTAGAGCATTGTGTTGCATTTATGTATTTTGCACATAAATTTGTATCCTCATCTGTGCTTACTCGATCTTTGAAAAAAGTATAGATACAGTGTTTATATAACGATAAAATCAGCATTTAATCGCATTTACGAATGTATGCTTAAGATAAATTATCATTGATATAAAATTTATATTTACCAATATACTGAAATTGACATGTCATTGAGAAATTAAAAGCAGAAGTAAAGGTCATATCTTTTTAAAATAAAAAAAATAGCAATTAAAAACAATTCTTTTAAAACAGATAATAGAAAATTAAAATTGAAGTTTACCTGGAACAGGGATATAAGGCTTGGGCACCAAAACCGTCATCAAATGAGGTTTATCGGTGGCGATAAAGTATACCAAAAATGCAAAATATATTAAAAGTATTATTATACTGATTATTAAACATGTTCCTCTCAGGCATACTAATATAAAAGGCTCTGTTTTGGAATATTTTTGAAAAATGTCTTTCGACTCGTAGAAAATTTTTGTCATTTTCGTTTATCTATAATAAATAAATAATACAAAAATAATTTTAAGATTAAAAGGCTAAACCTCCATTCTAGACCAGACGAAAAAGAAAGAAGAGCGAAAGAATTGTTTAAATTTCAAGTAAAGTCAAAGAATAGGGTGGAGAATGAAGTGAAATATTATGACTGGTTATTATACGTAAAAATTTACTGTTGCGTGTACATGTACAATCAATTATCCTCAAAAAGGTAATAAAAATACATTTTCCTAAAAAAGGTATAAAATAATTTTAGAATTATAAAAAAAACATTCAAGATTCATACATAATGCATGTTAATATATGCATTATGCTAATGCTAAACTATAGTTAGCTAGATTATAGATAATTTAGAACAATTTTTTATTTACAGCTATATATATATATACATATGCATATTTTCATAATTCCTGGAACACCTGATTAAAAATTGGCCGATTAATTCGGCATGATCCGTATAATAATGACTGTTTTACGGATCGTTGTAACAATAATGTCAACATTATTAAATTTTCGTTCGAATGCTTATCCAACATGTTTAGTGTGTCAATAAGTCTTAACAAGAAATATAAAAAAGGCACTATAAATTAATTAGACTTTTATAATAAACATATTGCACGTACATGTTAAAAGAAGATCCTGTATATAAATAAAATATTGCTTTTATTTGTATATACGTACAAGTTGGTTTGCAATCCTTCAAATTGTCATAAGACTAATTTCATCTCGGATCGTAATTCATATAAATACCAATCAGGTTTCTTTTCATTAAAATTTTAGTTCAGTGAACGTGGTTCTCCTGAAAGCAGGGTTGGCAATGGACTATGATGGGTTCTGAATAAATTGTCAATGGATATTGTCCATTGGGCCAATGGACATAGCCCATTGGCATTTGCTAAACCACATTTTGGTCCATTGGCCAACCTAGCCTGAAAGTGACGGAAACTTTTCAACACATCCATATCTTTGAAAGTGTCAAGAAAATCTCTATCCGAGTATTTTTAAATTTCCGGTTATCCGGGCAATTTGTTATAGCCATATAATAAAAATGTCTACTCGGGTAAATCTTTACCTGACTTAAAAAAGATATGCTAACACCTAAGTGTTCGAAATTATAGACCTTCTATATTTTTTTTTTCAACTATTTCCAGCGAAGATGTATATGCAATATTCAGTAATATTTATATTTAGTTACCTGATCTTAAATTACATATATATATTTTATTGAATCTATTATGCCGAAATCACAAACTTAATCGAATTAGGAAGACTTTCATGTGACTGGCTGATGTAAATATTTAGTGAAGATTTCGGTTTCTCTTGCTTTGTAAATTCATTTAATTTGATTGGTCAATAACCAATCGATAAACATAAATTAGCCAATCATCGCAGATCCGTTGTTACTGTAGTAATTAAAAGACTTGGGGTCTAATACAAAATACCAAACAAAAAATTTACAAGAGACCCGGGTATATTATACAGCATGGGTCTGTGTCGCAAGAAAGAGAAATTTCGTTTATATACATATTCAGCATTTATGATAAGCAGTCTAGAAATTTAGAAAAAATACATGTTTAATTAAGAGAGATCCCGTGTTTGCAGCAGGGTATTTTGCATGGGCGTATTGAAAAAGGGGATACTTTGGTCAATGCACTACGGTATATTCGTAACTGCATAGTTTATGAATATGATTTTTAGCAAAAGGTTGATATTAACGAAGTTGATATGATTGATATGACTACAATGTCCCCGGAATAATCATTAAGCGTATGATTGACTAGTCTTGTTTTAGTAAATGATAGACACCCACTGTATTTCTTAATTAGGTGACGGTTAAAGGATGTCGCGAGGTTGTTGTAATCTACTATTTCATGACGCATGCTAAATATTGTCTGTTACTACATAGATGGCGCGAATCCAAAAAAGGAAATTACAACAATATCACTTGATTATTAATTATTATTCTAATTTCCTTTTTGAGTTTTGTCACTCATCTATATTTATTAATAATTGTCCACTACGTATACTGTATTTTATACTCACATTGGTGCACACAACCATCTCACATCTTACCTTTGCTTACCATATTGAGCTAGCTTGGCACCCGTTACTCTGACGCTCTCCCGAACACCGTATAGTACGGTTAATGGTGTGAGCGCAATGCCGTAATTGGCCGTAATTTTTTTTTACAAAAACTCAATTATATCGAGATTCAATAATCCAAATTGGATGAATTTGATGTAATTCGATT